AAACAAACTAAAAATCTGCAGATAGTTATTTTGGATCGCAGGAAACCAAACTAATGGGGAAAAACAAGTGAAATCATGTTTGTGGCAAGCTTCAAGATCAATTACAGATAAACCAAGAAAAAAACAATTAAAAGGGCAACCAAGCAATTCACAAAAGAGAGGAAGAAAGAACAAAATATGAACAACAGAAAACGTAGAAAGAAAAAAAAAATTATGAACAATGCACACCTGAAGAAAAGGAAAAATCAAGACTTTATTCTCTTGAGGTCCAAATACAAGTTTCTGCGTTTCCCCTTTCTCTCTCTCCACTCTCGGATCTCTCTTCCTCCATTCTCCTCCTCTTTCCCCTTAGAAGCCGAAGGCCCCCCCTTTTATAGACAAAAGGAAAACCCAATCCTAATGTGCTTCTAATAATCAAATCCCAATCCCTAAGATAACAACTCAATCCTATCTGGAATGGGATTTCTTAGTTTTGCCACATCTACCCCTTTTCTAGTCTAGATTCATACCTTCTATGCTTAGAACTCCCTTCTTCGAATCAATTTCGAACTCTTCTTTTGCACCTCTTGTTGATGACTTTCAATCTCCGTAAATTTCTTCAAAACTTGAGTAGATTTAGGGATAAGTCAAGGAAATTTTTGTGATTTTTCTGTTTTGAGAGGGGCTAGCGACGGAGCAAAGAAAGAAACGGGTTTGGGTGGCTAGGGTTTTCAACCTTTATTTCAGCTTACAAGCAAAACGACGTCCTTTTGCTAGTTTCTCCGCTCAACCCTTCAAGCTTCACACTTTTGCAAAAATGGTCCATGAGGTTTTTCTTTTATCACTTAGCCCCAATTAAAATTGGGTCAAGACACTTCTGAGCTTATACTCAAACTTGTGGCATCAAGTTCAGTGATCTTAGAGCATTTCTAATCCACTGGGGGAAATTTTGAAATTATAGGCTCATTTTATTTGAATTTATTTTTTGACAATAAGAATTATTGAAAGATTGGATAAGCATCATGACCATTAAATCAAGTTTTCGCATTTCCTTGCAACTTTAATCTTATTTTTAGATTTGTCAAGAGATTTCAATTAAATAAAGCAATTATATTAATTGAAATAAAGCTACATAACTAATTAGGATTCCCAATCTAAACAAGAAAGAGAAGGCTATGATGTAGATAATATGAATGGACAACATATTGAAATTTCAAGGATGATGTGATTTTGAGATAAGCATGAGGTTTTTTTTTTTTTGTGCACAACTTTTGATGCAACAATTTTTGACAAAGTTAGGAAATATTTAAGCTATAAAGTATTTGCTTCAAGAATTTATTTTCTTTGTAACTCCACCAATCTAGTCTTTAGCATATAAAGCAATATCTACTTCCATGCCAAGGTGGAGGAATCAAATCTGTCTCCTTCCCATGAACTAACCTTCAATGTTTAGAAGATTGATCATAAACCATTGAGCTTTTTAGCTATGCTACTTGACTTGTACTCACTAGAAAATGGATTTCTTTTTTTTTTTTTTCCTTGATAGAGAAAGTTTCAAACCCTCAAATAAAGACTTTATATAGGCTTGTAATGTGACTTGAGGCTAGGATATTATGAAAGAAAAGGATAAAAGCTCAAACTCTCAATTACCCTCTCAAATTTCCCTCACATTCACTCCATGTCTTCGGTCATTGATGTGGCTTAATAGGAAGAAAATCATCTCAGCTTTTATGAACTTGGATGATTGCCTATTTCTAACCCAAAAAGGGGTAAGCAAAGAATAATATTAATTGTTTGGGATAGAGAAACAAGGTCTTTCATCACTAGATCTTCAACTTTCTAAGTTAAGGAAACATTTAGTTTGTCAAGCCAACCTTTTAGATGTTTAACCTAACTCTCTTCATCTTTTCCTTCTCTTTTTTTTTTTTTTTTTTTGGGAAGTTCATGATCAAACTAAAGAGCTATTAAATTCTCTAATAAGGACTTATATTGGCTTGTAATGTGGTTTTGGGTTAGTTTATTAAAAAGAAGGATATAAAGGCTCAAAATCCCTTTCCATAAATATGTTCCCCTCACGATCAGTCTTCACTTCCTAGGTTCTTGATGTAGGTAAATTTGCATGAAAATCATCTTGACTTTTATAATTTGGGTGATTGCCTTTTCTTTGGGCTCAAAAGGGGTGACTAAGGCCAATATAAAGTATTTCAGATAAACAAACATGGCCTTTCATCGTTAAATTTATTAACTTTTAAATTTGATCATAATTGGCCATGTAACTATATGATGAGCTAAAGTCATTCCTATAAGAGTATTAGTCAATTCAAGTAATGTAATAATGAAAATAGAATATCATTCCATAAAGGCTGTAAACTAATTAAGTATCAAAATTAACTAATTTTAATTTTATTTAAACAATTAAAATTAAACTATATGAATAAAGTAATTAACTAAAACAATTAAAGAAAAACTAAATTGACTTTGAGTAACACCCAGAGTTAAAACTTTAAGGCATTCAATTTTAGCATAATCAATCAATATAATCAATCAATATAGAATTTAGATTAATATGCTTTCAAGGTTTTTATTATTCATGTGACAGTGAGATTTCCTATTCTATTCAATACTTTCTCAAGTTATACCAAACTTATCTTCACATTTTAACTCACTATATTTCTATATAAATTTAAATAAATAAAGATGCATTATATTTTGTGAAATTCCTTATTTTACATAGAAAATTAAGTTCACTTATTATTAAGTTTGCATGAATCACATTAGTTCATCTCTCTAACATTTGTTCAATTTATGGTATATATTATTAGAAGTTATCACATAAAATCTCCTCTTTGTCTAAATTATACTCTCTAAATCAATTTTAATAATGGTCAATCATTAAAAAATATTAAGAACAATACCATATAATCTACATAAAATAAGAAACTTTGAAAGTATAAAAATCATGAAATTTTATATTAAATTGATCAGGTTACATTGTAACTTTGAATGGATAATTAATTCATAATTAAAGAAGAGAAAATTAACAATCCCATAATGAATATAAGAGTATTCCATATTATAAAATAAAATTCAAAAACAAGTAAAACTAATTTAACAATATAAGATCTCAAGTCTTAATATTCTTTTGTTATTGAAATCCTTAGTCGTCTCTCTCTTGGTCTCCTCTAAAAGCCCTAAATTTGATTTTTAAATGGGTATTTATAAAGTTTAAGAAACCCTATTAAAAAAGAAGTAGGACACAGACAAAACAAGAATTTTTAATGTTGGACACACTTAACGGATAGTGTTGACACTACAAATTATGTGTCGACATCATACCCGTGTCGGGTTTCCAATCTTCCTTTTGTAATTTCTTCGATGGTAAAATTGTAGATCTAGTCCTCTGGATTTTATACAATGAGCACTTTGATCTCATAACTTAAGATTATTCATTTAGGTTCCAAAATGGCACCTTTCTTTTTGCCATTTAGTCCCTCAACTTTGAAAAAATATTCAATTAATCCCAAAAACTCATATTATTATGCATTCAAATCGTTTTTTTCAAAAAAATAAAAACTATATAAAATCTATTGAAAATCACATATTATCTTTGAAAATAGTATTAAATCAAGGCTAATATAATAAATTAAAGCATATAAAATATTTCTCATTATTATATTCCCTGATTTTGGGATGGGTATGAAAGAAAATGCTCGCTTTTTTTTCTTTTTTTTCTTTTTTTTCTTTTTTTGTTTTAGGCTCAACTTGGTTGAAAAAGGAATAACTCTTTTTGGGTGAGTGTTTGGGAATTGGGATCATGAAAGATGGTCTTTGATCCTTGAGTTTTTCACTTTGTGATTCTAAATGATGACAATCATCCAACTTAAGTTAGCAAGACTTCCTATTCTCTCTTTTTTCTTTATTTTTTTCCCTCTCTTTTTTTTCTGGACTCCTTGTTTGCCACTTTCTTCATGGACTAGTTATCACATTTGGCTGCAACTTTTGCCTTTTATTTTGCAACATATCAGTTAGTTCATAAAAAGCATCAAGATTATCATCATCTTCCTTGACATGCATTTAATCATTTAAATCATATACAAATCCTGAAGTGGCATCATTATAAAGCTTGAAGGTAGAGAGAAACATGGATAAGTAATAGCATGCAAAGGAAGCATATATACGCAGGTAGGATTTTTTTTTTTTTTAGAATATTAGTGGCATCAAATGATATCTTATTGGTGAAGGATGGTTTAGACAATGATTAACTAGAAAAGTTACCTCAAGTTCAATGAATTATGGTATGGTGACATGTCTTACTGAATGTAAAGACTAGGAAACTAAATAGCGTGATAACAAATATTTTTAAGAATATAAAAGAGCATATCATTCTCTCTCTTCAAGTAGCCACAAGCTGAGCTACTAAAAGCTGACTTATCATGCTCATAGACAAACGAAGTAGAGAAAAGCTCCAATGTCCAATTAGCCAAAGTGTTCCCACAAGCAAGAGTAATGGTCATGTCAAATATGAATTCATCATAAGAAGCATTAATACTCAGGTTTTCTCATGTCCTAGATTTCTTTTTCTTGAGTGCATAGGAAAACAAAAAAAAAAAAAAAGATTGTAGATTAAAGTAGTACAAACCCCATTGTTAAATTGATCCCATAGTGTCGATGTTATTAAAGTTGGGTGACCACCCCACCTTCTTATTTTTTTAGACGGTGTCTCCCGCTGGGCCTGCGCGGCTTTGAAGTTTTTGAATCCACATCCACTCCATCCCCACCCTATTTTCCTATTTTTATTCGAATTTCTCTCCAAGGAAGAAGCAGTAAGTCCGAGGCAGAGAGCGACAACGATAAACCGTCTACAGTCTCCGACCACCGCATTTTTTCTGGGTTCCAACGATGACAAACTCGAACGCGCACAGGCACGCGCAGCCGCACGCGCCGCTGCAATCCGCCGAACAGCTCCGGCATCCAATCCTCCTTCACCGCCATCCGACTATTGTCTCAGCAAACAACAAATCATCGACTTATTCCAGAACTGCATTAGACTTGCCAGCGAAAATATCAGTTTCCTTTGCCCTTGCACGCAAATTTTAAATAAATGCTGTATCAGTGCTTGGAAATTCAGTTGATTATGACTATTATTGGATACATTTTTTAGAAAATAAACCATACGAATACTTGGGAGTTGAAGCTTATCGATCATCTTTGTGATATCGTCAAAGTTGATGCTGCAGAAGCTGATTCACAGACTAATTTCCAAAGGGTATGAACAACTTTTATGAAATTATATACTAAATGCTTATGTCTTAGTGTTTCAAGTGCTTGTGGGAGTTTGATGGACAAGCAAGTTGCACCCTCGAAGCCAGCATGAAAATTTACTGTGTCACTGTGGATGCTGTGCATGGATAGGCAAGTTGCCTTAATTTGTTTTACTTCCTAATCAGGATGGTAGTTATTTCATTGAATTTATCTTCTAAAATGACAATGAAAAATGAACAAGATGGCATAGTTTCTTCACAGTATTATACCGCTGGGAATTCAAATTGAGCTTCTTTTTGTGGTTTTGGCCGGGTTTCTTAAGAGAATGAGTTCAAACTTAAAATCGTATTACATTAGAATGGATCGCTGGTAAAAAATACTCTAAAAAGCATTATTAACCATCCGTACATCGCCAGGTGGGATAACTTGTAGTTTATATAATAAACATCCACTGCAAATTTCCCATTCAACACAACCACCAAATTAGTGTTCATGTAATTAAGTTCATATCATTCTAGATAATAGCCGCACCAACATAATCCATTGCTACGATGAGCCTACATAAACATAAAAACCCGCATCCTCCACGTGACATGCTCCGTAAGAAATGACATAAAAGTGGGATCAACGTAAAATTAAAACTTTTCATACCGTGCTGAGGACTGGCTGGTGGGACCACCGGAGGATCCAGCAGCTGCAGTAGTTTCTCCTTGCATGCCAAGAGGGTCATGATGAGACTGTGCAAGAGAGACAATAGGGTCTTATAATACCAAGTTTCTAACTTTACATATACCCACAAAAAAATAATTATAACAATTAATTAAGATACAGCAAACTCAGTACTAAAATAACTCACTATCTCCAGTTGTAGTAGAATTCATGGCACTCCAGTCAATGGCATAGACTATGCAGTGCTGGACTACAATTCTCCCTCACAATATCCTGCAGGTTAAAGAAAAAGTTAAAACAAAAATATTCCATAATTAGAAGAATGTCAAAAATACTACAATAATGCAGCAAAATATATCTACACC